GTCAGTTTAGTGGTGTAAGTGTAAGTGTAAGTATCTCTCTGGTAAGTTTATCCACTTATAGACACTCACACTTAAGATCAAACTCATCCTATGTCAGTTGGGTGGCATGAATGCCTGACTGGGTATTGTGTCTCATGTACATCGAGGCTACTTACCTACTTAGACAACAAACTCCTTCAAGAAAACACCTTTGTTACAATGCCCAACAAAGGTACCGGCAGAGGACTCTCTCCTCTGACCTCTAGCTGACCTCTTGAGTGTTAGAAAAAGGGATTTGTGAGCACATAAATCACAATCACCAATCAGCAGCCTTCAGATTGGTTCAAGACGTCGACCCTAATCTATCTTTGGTAGGGTAAGGTAACTATAAGATGAATGTACTAAGACATTTTCTATATACTTTTGAGGCAAAATAATACTATGTATCCAAACAGATTATAGCACTTTCATGTCCCAGGAACAAAATTTGCGTTTCATTATGTAATTTGTTATTATAGAATTGCCTGTTGTTTGCGTTATGAAATGAATAATTACATTGTTAAAGTCTTTAAGTCTGATAGACTTGCTGGAGTCTCCTTAAAGTCTGGCTATGAAGGTTGGAAGGTAAGACCAAACCAGCCAGACTTTGAAAACAAATGTTTTTCAATACGAGGAAAGACTGTTTGAGAAGACCTTTAATTATGTTGGAAAAGGCTGATTATAATGATGCTAATGAGAGGAAAAAGACTGATTTAGAACAAACAGGAAAGGAAAAAAAATTCTATATAAAGGAAGTGGAAGAAAATGGCATTTTTGTTTTTTATTTTGGAAGACTGATAGTAGAGGAAAAAGCCTTTTAGTGGGTACTTGTAGTGGGGGAAAATTAACATTAGAAAACTGGTGGTGGAGGAAATGTATTTTTTTTTAGGAAACTGCCAACTGGAGAATTTGTTTTGTTTAGGAAATGCGCAAGGAAAAAAAAAATGGTTAGGAAAACTTTTAGTGCAAAAACAAAGTTTTATTTTATAATAAAATTGTTAGAGGAAGAAAAAGTCTTTGGCAAAACTCGTAATGGATAAAAAAAAAAAGACTTTTTAAGAAAACATTAAATTTCAAAAAGACAATTTTTTTTTAGAAAACTTATCAAGACAAAAAAAAATTCTTTAGAAAACTTGTAGTAATGAAAAAAGCGAAGAACATATAAAGGCACAGAAGACACAGCAGACGTAAAGTCTATTATGTAGGAGCGTTTGGCTGAGACCAGCGACCATGGCTTCGTTCCTTCAAGAAAAACATTTAGAAAACCCGAAAAGTACTGAGAGGTTTCTTGAGTATTCACGTGACACGAGAGACTAGCATCAGGGGAGGAAGACTGGGTAGTTTACTTGGTGGTTTACTGGGTGGTGGGTGGTTTACTGGGTGGTGGGTGGTTTACTGGTGGGTGGGTGGTTTACTGGGTGGTGGGGGTTTACTGGGTGGTGGGTGGTTTACTGGGTGGTGGGTGGTTTACTGGGTGATGGGTGGTTTACTGGGTGGTGGGTGGTTTACTGGGTGGTGGGGGTTTACTGGGTTGTGGGTGGTTTACTGGGTGGTGGGGGTTTACTGGGTGGTGGGTGGTTTACTGGGTGGTGGGTTGTTTACTGGGTGTTGGGTGGTTTACTGGGTGGTGGGGGTTTACTGGGTGGTGGGGGTTTACTGGGTGGTGGATGATTTACTGGGTGGTGGGTGGTTTACTGGGTGGTGGGTGGTTTACTGGGTGGTGGGGGTTTACTGGGTGGTGGATGATTTACTGGGTGGTGGGTGGTTTACTGGGTGGTGGGTGGTTTACTGGGTGGTGGGTGGTTTACTGGGTGGTGGGTGGTTTACTGGGTGGTAGGTGGTTTACTGAGTGGAGGGTGTTTTACTGGGTGGTTTACTAGGTGGAGGGTGGTTTACTGGATGGAGGGTGGTTTACTGGGTGGTGGGGGGTTTACTGGGTGGTGGGTGGTTTACTGGGTGGTGGGGGTTTACTGGGTGGTGGGGGTTTACTGGGTGGTGGATGATTTACTGGGTGGTGGGTGGTTTACTGGGTGGTGGGTGGTTTACTGGGTGGTGGGTGCTTTACTGGGTGGTGGGTGCTTTACTGGGTGGTGGTGGGTTTACTGGGTGGTGGGGGTTTACTGGGTGGTGGTGGTTTACTGGGTGGTGGGTGGTTTACTGGGTGGTGGGTGGTTTACTGGGTGGTGGGTGGTTTACTGGGTGGTGGGTGGTTTACTGGGTGGTGGTGGGTTTACTGGGTGGTGGGGGTTTAATGGGTGGTGGTGGTTTACTGGGTGGTGGGTGGTTTACTGGGTGGCGGGTGGTTTACGGGGTGGTGGGTGGTTTACTGGGTGGTGGGTGGTTTACTGGGTGGTGGGTGGTTTACTGGGTGGTGGGGGTTTACTGGGTGGTGGTGGTTTACTGGGTGGTGGGTGGTTTACTGGGTGGTGGGGGGTTTACTGGTGGGTGGGTGGTTTACTAGGTGGTGGATGGTTTACTGGGTGGTGGGTGGTTTACTGGTTGGTGGGTGGTTTACTGGGTGGTGGGTGATTTACTGGGTGGTGGGTGGTTTACTGGTGGGTGGGTGGTTTACTGGGTGGTGGGGGGTTTACTGGGTGGTGGGGGTTTACTGGGTGGTGGGTGGTTTACTAGGTGGTGGGTGGGTTACTGGGTGGTGGGGGTTTACTGGGTGGTGGGGGTTTACTGGGTGGTGGGGGGTTTACTGGGTGGTGGGTGGTTTACTGGGTGGTGGGGGGGGGTTTGTTCACATATACAAGTCATAGTTGTTCACAAGGTGTTCACTCTTCATTGTACACCCTGACACTGTCAAGTCACCCCCGGTTGCCTCCAAGACCCGAGAAAAAATCCCTTGTCTCGCTCCCCATTATTGGAGACAATAGGCTTATTAGCTTATCAATATCCACCTCACCACCGACAGGCCTATTCCAGGATGCAACCCATTACAGTTAGACTATACCTCCCAGGGCCCTATTTACTAGGTGAATAGAGTCTCCAGATGAAGGAAACATGTCGAACCGTCTATCTGAGAGTCGAACCCAGGTTATTGATCCTTGGTTCGACGCCTCCCCCACAGCCACCACCATCATCAACCCACATGACCCCTGACAGGGTTATGCAGTATACTCTCAGTAGATTAAGAATGTTCAGTAAACTCCCCCCCCCCCCACCCTGGGGAAATCTGGCCATGTAGGATACATTTGTACACATAGACACGGGGTAGTAATCTGGGGATGTATTCCAGACATACACAGGCAGCCAAGTAACGGTAAACATGGATTTTTGTCCGCCGACAAACACTCGCTTTATGACTACATAAAGTGTCGCCCATGGCTGCTGCGGGCGTGCAAGAATATATATATATATATATATATATATATATATATATATATATATATATATATATATATATATATATATATATATATGTGTGTGTGTGTGTATGTGTATGTGTATGTGTGTGTGTGTGTGTGTGTGTGTGTGTGTGTGTGTGTATGTTATATGTACATTATTCTGATTTCCACTTAGCCGATTGCGGGATCCTCCCAGCTGATTCTAAGATTGTTTACATCGCTTACTCTCCGCTTCAATGTTTACATCGCTTACTCTCCGATTCAATGTTTACATCGCTTACAACCCGTTTCAGGGAGACCTGATCATATTTATTAGATGATAAAATCCTAATTACCTTTACCTGGTGTTATCGGGAGGTAGTTGAAGCGTAACTATGGCGTAGTTTGTCCCTTAATGACCTCTCTGAACCCACCCCGTTCTCTCAGTTTACCACTCCGTAAGAAATGTAACTGTTTTGCTTCAACATGAACGTACGAACTCAAGCATCGCACCAAACCATTCAGTGCATAGGAAACATCAATATTGCGGCGCTTTAATGTATTGAATTTTGAATGTATTTTAACACATTGGTCGAATGCGTAATAATACGACGTATTGTATCAACATGGACTGTAGGTCGCTTTGAACAAGAGAAATTCACGTAAAGGATTAAACACCTTTGCATGAAATAATAAATGCAATTGTTTGTTCAACTACGCCCCGTATTGCGACACAGACAGCTGGTATATGGAGCGACCAGCCGGCGAGACTATTATAGTACGTGATGCAAGTGCACTATCTGATGGCGCAGTGGTAACACACTCGCCCCTCACCTCATGAACGATTTGGTCTGGGTTCGAGTCCTGGCCGGGAAGGATTGACGAATCCTTAACTGTTCGCCTCTGTTTACCCAGCAGTCATTGGGTATGTGTTTGTTAATCGATTGGCGGGTCGTGTTCCAAGGAGAACTAGTAGGGTAAGGCTTACCATGAGCTATGGGAAGGGAAAGCTCTCAGCCTGCTAACAGGAGTCAGCAGTCGTCTGCTCCTGTACCCACCTGTGTGTAAAACTAGTAGGGTAAGGCTTACTATGAGCTATGGGAAGGGAAAGCTCTCAGCCTGCTAACAGGAGTCAGCAGTCGTCTGCTCCTGTACCCACCTGTGTGTAAAACTAGTAGGGTAAGGCTTACCATGAGCTATGGGAAGGGAAAGCTCTCAGCCTGCTAACAGGAGTCAGCAGTCGTCTGCTCCTGTACCCACCTGTGTGTAAAACTAGTAGGGTAAGGCTTACCATGAGCTATGGGAAGGGAAAGCTCTCAGCCTGCTAACAGGAGTCAGCAGTCGTCTGCTCCTGTACCCACCTGTGTGTAAAACTAGTAGGGTAAGGCTTACCATGAGCTATGGGAAGGGAAAGCTCTCAGCCTGCTAACAGGAGTCAGCAGTCGTCTGCTCCTGTACCCACCTGTGTGTAAAAAAATGTACATTCCACAGTGTAAGACAAATATAGTTGACCTTCGTAGTAGTAGGCATCCTTCAGTCTCTGCAGACTATGAAGTTGCGCTTTGGTTGCTCTCCAGGGCGCAAAACCTGTGTAGGTCGATATGGAGGAGAAGCTGTTACCCATGCTGCAGGTTCCCCCTCTCCACATTGCTG